GTCCTCACAATTATTTCACCCAACATCTTCAGCCAAACTCCCGCACTGCCCTCTCAATTGACCACCCAAAAACTCGTGGGATAAACACCTCCGCCCTCCTTTCAGATACTACCCAGTACACTCTGACTCACTAACATGAAATGGTCACATGCTCAACTTGGAAGCCTACTTTCTTCTAGAAACATAACAAACAAATACAATACAACTATGGTTTGTTTCCCGCTTCATGTCAGCTGAGTCAGAGTTCACCACACTTCCAGACTCAGATCCGAGAGGCCCAGCTGCGCTTTCAGCTTCACCACCGCCTCGGCCTTCTCGGCCTCGCCCTCGGCCCACTCCAGGGCTTCCTTCAGCTCCACCAACGAGCTTCCTTCGCCCAGGTGGAGCTGCAGCGCCAGCAGCGCAGCGGCACCTCTCCAACGACCGGCGATGGCGGCGATCGCGGCGATCGCCGCGTGGCCAAGGGCGTGCAACTGGGCATTTGTGGATGGCCTTTTTGAACGACGGCACTCTGTTCTGCCGAAGTGAAGAAGACCAAGCTCGGTCTGCATTGATTTCCGGGCTTGAAGAAGACCGGGTGACTCCGGGCGAACTCCGGGCACTTCGGACCTTTGGTGTAGAGATTCCCTCGGTGTAGATCTACCCTGATCCAACAAGATCACGAAAACAAGACTCATCTGGAATGCTTGACGTCCAGAAAAAAAATAAAAAAACAAAATAAAACGATGCTTTGTCCAGTTCTTTTGCAGAACTGAAGTGCGTGCCCCGCACTATCTCTCTTTCTTATCAGAGCATCATCTACTACGATGCCTTCCACGGACGCTGCACGTGCCAGAAACACCAGAAACGTCTCATAACACCGTGCCTCGAGGCTCCCAATCGCAGAGACTCAAGGCTTCCACCGTGGTCTCACCGGCGTCCACCTGACAATGCACGTGTTCTTTTATTTATTTAGTTTTGTTTCATGTTATTTTTGTGTGTCTTCTTTAGTTGTTTCTATGATGTGTGGCTATCTTGGCTACTTTTCGGTGTTCTTCGGAAGTCCTATAGACACCGGTTTACCTGAATGGAAGTTCCAGGAAGAACAGTGAGTTCCTCGTCTTTGGACGCCACGTCTTTGGGAAGACCGACCCGATCCGAGTCGATCACAGTGTGAGCACCTGTCTAGAATCCAGGTCTAGAAACAGTGTAGTGAGTCCACCTCTTGATTTCCTGTACCCAAATGACTATGACCGTACCTGACAAAACCAAGAGTGATGTGGCATTCCATGTGATTTGTTCCTGGACCGTCTCAAAGGTGCCAAATGTTGGAATGTTCCTTAAAAGGCGTCTTTTTATCCTTGAAAAAACGTCCTCGGGCGGAAATCGGTTTTCGACCGTTCAATCTGAGCCATTTGGTTTGGCAGGGTCATGGTTGTGGTTGCTTTAGAAATAGATACAGTCAATATAGTCTGCTGACGTGCTGGGCGCTTCAGGAAATTTCACCCCTAACCCCTCGCACGCCCCAATTCTTGCTTTGTTTGTGGCTTCTATTGGCATTGAACCCTACTTCTGTCGAATGCACAATGATAAACAAAAAAAAACACATAACACCACTAGAGTCTAGAGTTAGTAGCAAGCAAAAACAATCAAAAAACTCTGGCATGTAAGATCCCTATATTTGTCTTATCAAGTGGGCACCCTGCCCCCGCTGTGCAGCTGCAGCCAGCTGAACCCCGCACACCTGCTTGGCCAAGGCGATCCGTTGCTTGAGCACCCGGTCAATGGCCTGGAGCCAGGTGTGATCCCTCAAGTTAGCATGCAATATAGAACCACTATGGCTTCGACACCTGCACATAGACAAACACTTGGAAACATATGGAATATGCATTGAACAAACATGGAAACCACATGGAATCTGAAAACACACACAATGTGGACACGTATATATGGAGAGTACTGAAAAACATATATGTTAAGTTTTTTCGTCTCATGATTGCTACAAAGAGCCAAACAGTTTTGCATCGAGACCTGCACCGACTCTGAGCATCGCAGATTGGAACGATGCGAATGGAACAGTAACCTTTGATGAAGGGATTAGATGGGATTAGGGTAAATGGGCAGTGCGAGAAAGGCATGAACCTATGCAAAAAAGCAATGCTAAAGGAACAATAGACTTTCTCCCCTTCACATGGCAATGGTGAAGAGGTTTACCTGGACGTATGCATGGAATTGGTGATTGCAGTGCTTGATGGTTCTTCCCGGTGTCGTTAAGGTCGGCGGGTCGGCATCCTTCATGTGAGACACGGTCATCCTACGCTCCTTTTGATCGATGGAATGCATTCAGAGGGTTGGAGCATCCCAACAAACAACCGACGTCAGCACACTGCGTGGCAACCGGGGAGGGGTTTGGTATCAGGCTCTGGGTGTAGGTGAGTTCTTTTTGTTGAGAGGATTGGGAAGAAAGAATCAAAACACATCCCTGGTCCATCCATGGTCCGATTTTCCGATTTGAAGGCAATTTTTCGGATTGAAATGTCACGGTGAGGATCATTCGAAGTAAAGTAATTTGGAGTGAAAATACAGGAAGAAAGAATCAAACACATCCATGGTCCATGGTCTGTTGTTCCTCCCCTTCTCTGTACTTCTCCTCCTTTCCTCTGCAACTGGCCCAAGTGGCTGGCTGGGCGCGCGTCAGGTCCCAGCCGGAGGCCTCGAGCAAACTCTGCCTCGGTGTAAAACCGGAGAAAAGAGAACCAGCAGGGGAGGGGAGATCCATGAGCATTCACCATGTTCCCCCAAAAGATATACCAAGCTTGGTGTATGTTGTGAAAGATGTGAAAAGGATTGAAAAGGTGCTTCTAAGACGATGGAAGAATCCAACAACATTATATTTGTTTGGTTGTTTTCTTTACGATGTTGTGCCAAAAACAACAGGTTTAAGCTTTAAAAGCTCCACCCGTTCAAAAGCCAAGAGTTGGGAGTGGGGCTGGCCAAGGGGCTCAAGGGGACTTTGGGAGGTCATTTTAAGTGCAGCACAACCTATGTTTTTTTCCCTATGACCCGATTGATTTTGATGGTCAATGACCACTCATGCTAACCTTATCAGCATATAATATCTTGGAATTTGTAAAACGGGTATTGACATGAGTCATGCGTTCCTTTCAGCATGTGCTGACAGGTCACAATTGTCAAGGTGAATTCCTTGTTACTGACAGGTCCGGTCTTGCACATAGTGAAAGTGAAAGGACCAATTCAGAAAGTTACACAGTTACAGGCTACAGGTCATGCGTGTTCCGTGTTCTATATTCATTACCGGTATGCAATCGCAATGCACTAAGTGAATCCCTGAAAAAACAGGTCAGGCACAAGTGAATCACTGTCACTTTCTATTTGGCGGACCGAACCCTGCGTTTGAGGTCCTTCACCCAGCAGGACCAGATCCGAGGACCGGAGCGTATCAAGCACAACACGCAGTCCGATCGTAAGACACGAAACCATCAGGTGAAATCGGTGACCCCCGAACCATTTACCTACCTCATTGTGTGCACCTGAAGAGGGAAAAACACTACTCACAACAAAAAGCTGTGCGAATTCATGGAGCTGCGGTGATCTCCAACAAGCAACCAAGGTCCCGGGCCCGGTGAATCCCCCAGAAGGCCTGACGTGGCGCGTTCCGCTGGTTTCGAGCGGCATTTCGGCCTCGGACGGCCTGGCGAACTTCACCAAGAGATGACCTGGACCGGGCGAGGGAAGCGTACCCGCCACAGGGCGAGGGAAGCTCGCCAAGTTGGGGGGAGCGATGTGGGGGGAATTCGTGGTGGATCACTTCTAATTAATGGCTCATTGCTTGAGGCTGACAGACTGACCAATGTAATAAAAGTACATCAAAGATCATAAAAGTAATTACCAAGTGCTGCAAACAACATCAAACACATCACTCTTGCATAGAGTGGCTCCCCAAATAGATTCCATATTCCCAGCTTTCCAGACGTCTATTACCGATCCCAGTGGCGCAGGGTCAAGACCGGCAGCGTTTCGAGGAGGTGGTGCACCGCAGCAGAGACCAACCAGCCATTCTCCTTCAAAACGAAAAAGGAGGCGGTGAACAGTTGGCTTCTGTTCCCCAATTACCCTGAAGACCAGTCGAGTTTAACACGTTAATATTGGCTGAGAGGATCACTTAGTTTGTTTTTTTTTTTTTTTCCATGTCCATGATGTTCCATGCACACATATAATTATGTGCAGCTTTAGAGCAAACGTACACCCACATGTAATTACCCACAGGTCTATGCATGCAGCTTATGCCAAAAAGCGAACGACCTTCGACTTTCGACCGCACTGTCCTTCAGGACACTGGTGGCCCGCTCAGGAGAGAGACGATGCCGAAAGCGCTCCTGGAGTACGTGACAAACCTGCAGGGTCAACGGCGTGGTGGGGTCAATAAGGTGAAGTTACCTTCCAAAAGGGACAAGCCCGAAGAAGAACAATAATAAATTAACATGATGATGACATTGATGATGAAAAGAACAAAACACAAAGAACAACTAACTTCAAAAATAATAAGGATAAGAAGAACAACAACAACGACAACAACAACACCACCAACAGCAGCAACAACAACAAGAAGAACAACAGCACTGAACAACACCCCCAAGAAGTGCAATAACCTATGAATCACTGAAAAAGGAAGTTAACAACTGTACCTTAAAGGAACTCCTGAGGCTGTAAACGCTTGGAACGCATTACTAGAGCTCTACTATGCTCTACTGATCAAGGTCACCAACACAAAAAGAGTTCAAAAAACAACTGCTCGGTGGGTTCTAATGACTGAACACTGCCTGGTGTTAAAATCAAGTCCTGCAAACAGTGGACAAACCACTAGGTCGTGTATTCTGTTGAGGGCCTCATTAGTTTCCGGACATCTACAGATCTACCAACTCCTGCAGCTGCAAAAGCAGCACATCATGTCCCAATCCCCCACCGAGTTCCGTACGAAACGATCTAAACCCAAAGATCTCTCAAATAGAGACGGAACTAGGTTTGTTGGGTTTGTTGGTTTGTTGGTTCATTGCAAGTCGATTTGTTGGTTTGGAGGTATCATGTCGGTTCATTGCAAGAAAAAAACTCCTGGCGAAGCCCAAAATCCTGGTGCGCTCGGCGGCCTGGCGCACTGCGGCCTTGCGATAGACCACAGGATACCAGCGGAGCAGCCAGGACTGGAAGAGCGGTTGACAAGAGCTATAGACCTGCAACGGCGTAGAGTTGAAGAGGCTTCTGGAGGCACTAAATGTTGGAACTGCCACATGGAGCCATGACGCAAGTCCCACAATTTGCGGAGGTGTCCACACTACTACGCCCAGATTTCCCCATGTCTTTTTGACCACGCATCACCCGATAGGTGTTGAAGAGAAGGTCCTAGGAGTTTGAGGGGGTTCAAGGCAATAAGCTAATATCTTACATGGCAATGTGTTCTAAGGGACCTCTGGGGAGGCTTGAGGCAAAACGGGGAAGAAATTGACGTCGGGTTTCAGTTTTGGAGGTTGACATCCACTGGAACTCTCCAAAAGCACAACGTTCCAGGCCAATCAAATCCTTATTTTACTGTTAGAGGGATCTCAACTAAGACCTTTTAGGGCTTTAGGGTTTGGCTATAGTCTTTAGTCGTCACACTAGCACGATGCTTGACCCGCCGGCCCTTTTCCCGCCACTCGGCCTCCCAGAGTTCCTGCTCTTTCAGAAGGCAGTTCCGTGGCTCGCTACCCACCGGTGGCAGCTGCGAGTCCAGCTTCACCCACATGCCTCAAGTCACCGCAGTCGTTGGTCGTCGCGCGAGGCGAGCGCGGCGGCACCACCTGTTCACCCTGGGGTGAACAGCTGAATGTTGCAAATAGAAGAAGAGCATAGAAGAATAAGGAGAACATGAAACCAATATGATATGAGTAATTACAGTCATCTATCTTGTGAAAGCTCCCAGGGGTGCCACCCTGAATATTTCAGTGGAAGTGTTTTTAGAGAAATCGGCCATTGGCCACCAAAAGCGGCCCTCAACACCTATACCTTATACCAAATTATCCTCTCTATCTCTGTTGCCGCGTCCGTATTGGTTCTGAACTATGTTGTTGTTGATGTTCTGGAAAAGGTGTCATGGACAGTTTGATGTTGAGGTTGATGTTCTGGAAAGGGTGTCATGGAAAGTTTGATGTTGTGGTTGATGTTGTGGAAAAGGTGTCATGAAAATTTCTATGTTGTGGTTGATGTTGTGGAAGTTGTAGCCATTGTTGTGGAAAATGCCTATACCGGTCAAAGACATCATAGTAGACTGCCAGAAAATATGCTTTTCTATCAAAATCAGGGGTCATGTCTGGGCTCTAGGTGTCAATAACCACCCTAACCCGTTGAGACGCCCGTGCCTTCGGCCTTCCATAGAGCTTCCATTGCATTTTCTGTTTAAAACTTATCTTGTTGACTCTGGATTTGTCCTACGGTCGAAGGCCCTCCACAAACCTCAACTATTGATTGACATGCTGAAAATGCTATAAGACAAACACAAATAATCCAGACTTCTTATCCCTACAAGACAAGTCCAGTCTGCCCCAGGTCCAGTCTCCTGGTCCTTGACCTTCTTGAATAGCTTTTTGTATGACTGACCAACGTCAAAATGAGGTCAGACTGACTTGTAGGGAACTTAGAACTCTTAGACGATTAGAGGTGACCCTTAAGCCCCCACATCTTACCACTCGTGTGAAATCTGCGAAAGCCATCGAAAGCCCACCCACGGCAACCCGAAAGAATGTCAACCCATGTCAACCCAGCAAAATGAACAATTCCAGGCCACCTTCAGTCAAGACCACCCCTGAATGTCCTCACTTGATGTTGTGTCGGAAGTTCAGCAGCATTGGTTGACCTGATCTGGATATCTGGATCTATCCATGACATGACAGGTTCCCCATGTCTGGCGCTGAAAACATGAACACATCGACTGGTCCCCAAAGACCCGCTCGGGTGCAAGCGAGATGCCCACCATCTGTTCGTGGCGCTTGAGGGCATAGTAGTGCCTCGGCTTTGATGTCTCTTTTTCTCTGGTTTTGGTGATCAGCTGAGACGCCTCTTTCTTTCGTTGATGTCTTTTTTGTTGATGTATCTTTCTTCTCTGTTTCTTTTTCTGCGTTGCTTGTGTTTGATGGTGTTTGTTAGGTTCTTTATAATTGAGACGTACAGAAGCATGGTGGTCCAGGTGTCCAGGTGGTGTCCAGTGACCTTCTTCCTGCACGAGCAGGAAGGCCGGCCGTGTTTCAACCATCTTGGTTCAGTGAAATCGCCTGGGCGAAACAGGTTCCTTTTGTCAGGGATCCTCAACACAAATGCCCCTCTCCTAGCAGCAAAAAGCTTGTGCGCCCAGGGCTGATCGACTGAGTGTGTTCTTTGTTTCTGTAAATCTTGACGAAGATCCCAGATCGAATCACTAAGATCCCAGATCGAATTCTTGAAAGATCTGATCGTGCCACGTGTTTCAGCCCAGTGGCGACCCAGTGGCGACCACTTTCAAAGTCACATCTTCCTATCAGCTTTCATGAACCACCAGGTATTCCAAAGTCCCAGCCTCACATCACCAATAGAAAATATCTTTTGCATTCTGTTATACTCAAGGCAAACAATTCATAGTAGCTCGACATCACACAAAAATCCAGTCACCCTGCTAATTACTCATGACCCCCACCCCCCACACCACCCTCCAGAAACATTCCTTCTCTTACCAAGCATCATCTGCCCGGGCTGCCGGTCATAGACCAAAAAACCCAGCAGAAACGCGCCCGAGCCGCTGCTCTGCATGCTCTGCGCGGCTGCCTCGGCGAAGGAGAAGCAGCGCGAGGTGCGGAAGTCGCTCACGGGTTCCACGTCGACAATCTCCAAGTCCTCGCGGAACGCCAAGGGCCAGCGAGCCCACCGAGCGAGCCCAGAGGCGCCCGGCCGGGACGGAGGTGGCCGGTGGTTGGGAGAGCTGGGTTTGGAGGAGGAAGGGCGGGTGTTGCGTTGGGCTTGGAGGAGGTCAATGGCTTGATTTGAATGAAACCCAACGACTGGTTGTTGTTTGGCTTATACAAGTGACCTGAACTTGATTGCCCACAGAAAAGGAAAATCGGGTTCATCTCCCAGCATGAGCACGTAGAATTGCATGGAGCCCTGGAAGACTCAAATAATCTCAAATAAATTACAACTTCTACATGTAGATAGACATATAAACACCAATGGTTTCAGGATGCGTCAGGACTTTATGTGATCTCTTTTTTGTGGGTGTAGCCACCAGCAACCCATCAAATCACGCCGTCTTCCTCAGCTATCCTGCCTCGACAAACAACCTGCAAGTCAAAGAGTTTTTGTGGGTAATTAGTCCTTAATCTATACTTAGACCCAACCAAATCCTTGTGGTTGCTAGATCCACTAGGCTTGCCAGCACAATGTTCGATTCTTTCTTATGCAGCTCGGCTTTGATCCGCGTCTTCCTAGATTGAGAGATTGCACATTCCCCAGTGTGGTTATATGAACCCCACCAAAAAATCATCTTTAGTCTTTGGGGGGGCTAAATGTGTCTATACTCATCACTGCAAAACCCACCCAAACCCTTGTTCCCAGCGCCCACTCCACTTCACCACCGCTCGGGACCTCGCGCCTTCGCCGCGGCAGCGATCTTCAGGGCCTCCACGTCGAAGAAGCCGCTCGGGACCTGCGTTCCGGCGGCTCTCCGGCTCTTCGTGCGGTCGGACCCAGCAACCGATCCACTGGACGTCGATGGGCCTGTGGCGTAGGTGGACCCATACCGCGTCGGAGATAGTTCTCATCCAAAGTCGTCCCAATTCTCTTTCTGGGTGATGTTGCGTTGACATGCAGGTCTTCCCCAAGGTCTCCAGGGTGAAACTTGACCCGGGTGTTCTGGCTGAAGGTCGTATCTTCCCCACTGGCAATCAGGGGCTTTTATGAACACAAAGACCTCAAAGGCCCAACGAATATCTTCAAAATTCACAGGTTTCAGGGATCAGGACTGAGGGGAAGTGGCACCCAGTGGGGGTTCGAGAACATACCCAAAGAGGTTGCTGTATTTTCAGCGAATTCTTCCCCAAACAGGCGAAGTCATCCGCAAGCACTTGCTCTGCTGTCTTCTATATGTGGATAAGAGTGGAAATCGAATGTGTTTCATGTGTCATAAAGCTTGACCAGGGACCTCCCAATGTGAAACATGAATACCCTGAATACCTAAACAATCGGGGTGATTCTGATGGCACTCTCGACTTCAAGCTGAAGGTTTGCCTGCTGCACGAGCGCCGAGCCAAGATCATCTCTCAAAAAAGCAACAATCACATATAATCACATGATGATGTCCTCGGTATGGACATCAACAAACATATATATATATAGATGTATACAGTATATGATCACAAGCAAACAAGTTCTTCTTTAGGACCATGGGTACGCTTGGTGGAAGGTCCAATGGAACAAGCCTTTCTTGTTGGGGAGGGCACCTTTATGGGGGTGAAGAAGCGGTGGGTGAAGAAGCGCACACAAGCAACAATGAAGCCAAGGGTCCATCACCAATTCTGAAGAACATTCGTTAAAGAGCATCTTTAGAAACAACTCAATTCAACATTCTGAACAAAACCATGGGCCAAAGGCATCCAGAAATCTACAAGGTAATGGTCTGCTGGTGCGAATCAGCTACCGTGGGACGACCTTCAAAGCTTCATAGCACAATCTCTGACCCTCTCTGACCCATATTGGCCGTCCTTGACCCAAACTCTGATCCAGGGTTCTGGTGATTTCTGCTGTGCCACTTTTCCAAAACGCACATCGGTGGTCTGAGGGGTGCTGGGTCACCAACATCAAAACTTTTTGTCCCCGGCATCATCTACGAGTTTTTAGATGAGTTCATGGGATGCTATCCTTGAAACAAAAACCAGGGACTCATGGCTTAATGAGCAACAGCATATCCAACCTTTCCTTATGACAATTGTGAACTAAACATGGGAACAGTCCACTATCTGCCCACCACCCATCCAGTCCGGTCGACAAATACCCTCCGCCTCGGTCAAGGAGGGTCGCTGACAAAAATGGCCGCCCTGAGTCACTTGCGCGTGTTGCCTCGGATGGAGGCTTTTCTTTGTGGACGTGTGCGGCTCCTTTTTTGGTGCAGGGACCAAACTAGCACCTGGACGAAGTCCGACGAACCTTCTTGATGTACAAATTGATTCCATGCATTCTGGAGTTGGAAAAGTGAATCATAATGAACGATGGGGGTTTATAATGATGTTCTTCCATAGCAACAAACATGAAACACAAAAACAACACATCCGGGATCCTCCGGGCTACCCTGGTCAATCTCTTCATGGTTTGACCGTGTGTGACCCGCAAGGCTTTTGGCTTTTGGCCTAACAGTGGGTGGTCGCTCTGAGGAACGAAGAGATGCCTCGACAAAAACATGGCGAGCTGTGGTGGAGAATCATCTGGGTGCGATTTCCGCCACAGCTGTGGGAAAAATGGTTCCTATCATCTTTCCAGGCCCCTTGTTACTTGCCAGGATCGGTCCTCAAAGTCTTCAGTGGTGTTCAGGTTCAATGTGTGGGTCCCGAAAGGGATCTGAGAGTGGGTCTCAAAAGGGTTCGTGGCTTTCCAGGGTTCAATTTCTGGAAGTTGTCGGTGTAGTTCTGATGTAAAGGATATATCTTCAAAGCATCATGGAAGATAGTTCAATTTCCATGAATTTCCTGTACCCGGAGACCTGCTCAAGTGTAAGCCAGGGGGAAGTCCAAGAAGAGCATAAAGTGAGAAAATGCAGTCACTTGCAGTCCTCTACAGACTTCTTCTGGTCGTAGACAAGCACCACGGTGAACACTACACGGCCCTCCAAACTTGGCGAACGTAGGTGGTGCCGGTGCCCGGGCGAACAGAAAACCAAAGCCTCCTATATTACATACCCCTATGATTGGTAGGCTCCATTAGCCACTAATGAAATACTAATGGGCTTCCCTCCGGAAGAAAGAAACCACTGTGATCCTCATCTGGGTGATGAACATTCTTCACCAGAAGTTGCCCTTATCTGCATCCAAGGCCACCTATCCTGCGCGAAGCCCTCCGTCTCCTCTTGCTGACTAAGCGGCGCTTCGGCATGCTGGAGGTCTTCCACCGAGAAGAGGGGCCGCTGGCAGAGATTGTTCAACGCATTGAGGCCGCAAGTATCAGAGCCTGGAGTTTGATGTCCGATGAGGGATCCAATTTTCAACCACCAAGTTTGGGGTAACTCCACCAAGCTTGGGGTAACTTATGCTTGTTTCTCCATCGAACCTTTGAAACCGCTGGAGTCCGGGGTGAAAGACATGGAGGAATGGACCACATCGGCGGAGAACCCCCCCCGGGAGAGGTCCGTGTCCTACCCGTCTTTCCATGGATGTGTACGTAGGCCATGCGCAGGGTCCTGCGATGCGTAAGTGGGAACCCTGGTGAAGTAGACCACAGAAAGCCACGAGGGCTTGTTCTTGACAGGTCCAGAAAGAGTGGGGTTGCCTAGTCTGCCTTCCAAACACGAGCAAATGTGGTTCAAAAGCAGGAAACTCTTGCAGGAACGTTATCTTCAGGCAGCAACGTTCGAGTCTCGTGGCTCGGTGCTATCCGTGTGTTTGGATCACCAGGTCCTATTTGGATCCCAAACCCAAACACTCCATGTGGTATGGTATATATGCCTGTAATTGCAGAGTAGGAGGGAGTGTCTGGGACATGATCGTTGGACCCTGAAGCGCACCACGCTTCGTCCACGAGTACCGCGCACCACGCTTCGTCCACGCCTGGAGTTTGACACTCGAAGTATATGTTCATGTCTCGCAGGGCCTGAGAAGAATCGGTCGAAAGGATTCGAAAGGTCTAAGACTCACAGATTGGTCCATATACTCTACTCTATGGATCCACATACTCTCTGAGAGGGTGATGCAAAACCACTTGTATGTTAAAGTTGGAGGGTCCAAGTACCCTCTGAGAAGGTATGTGGATCCCTAAAGCGCTAGGAAAGACAGAAGCCACCTAAGACAGATCGGTTTTGAAGTCTTCAACTTCCCTGAAAGGAGTCAAATCCATCCCCTGCATGTACCCTCTCCAGGCTTAGAGTCAGGTCCTACGACTTCAGCTTCTACCTCCCCCAGCGCGGAAACACGATTCAGCTGGGTCGAAGCGTTCGGAACCATGTCGATCTCTACATGTCGAAGCATCCCAGGTGTGTTGGAGATCCAGTTCAGCAGTGGGTGGGTCATAGGTGATGCCGCTAACTTTGAAGTCATCTATCTATCGAAGAATAGTGTGTGTGTGTGTGATGCTGGCCTTGGATAACATATTCAACTGAAGCAACAGGAGCATCTTAAAATGACCCACACCAAACAGGACAGTGGATAGATCAATGATCGTTAATGATACTGCACGCTTGATTCAGTCAGTCCAAATCGTTTAAGGGCTTAAACCGACAGAACCCAACGAAGAAACTGGACCAACTCACTGACCACTCGTGTGTTGATTTCTTTCAAGTAGCTTTTGTTGGGGCCGTTCGCATGTGTTCGGCTTCCACCCGCCTCTCCGGGACACACACAGCGGCCACACATCGACACCGCTGACCTTCTGACCTTCTGACCGCTCGAGAGCGCCTGAGTGCCCAAGGGCGTGCCATGTCGCGCCGAAGCGGTCTCCAGGGACTCTCGAAGGGCTCGTTGCAAGTCCTGAGCGGAGCGAGCGAGCGAAAGGTGGGGCAACTGAGCGAAGAGCGAATTCGCTCGGTGGGGGGGGGGGTAGCACCTGTATGGGACTGCCATAGGACTGCCGATCAATTGACCCCCCCTGGCACCACCCCTGGCCTGATCGGCATCTATGGCAGTCCCATGGAGTGTCTGGGTTTGGTTGGGGTGTATATTACGAAGCTATACATGGAAAAACCGGTGTGGGTCTGAAGAAGTTCGTTGTCACTCCAGCTCTGAAAGAAATCCGAAGCTTGATATTTCTCTTGCTTGTTTCTGTCTAGTTCCGGAACCCATCAGCGAGGAGGTTTCCTTTATGAGGATTGTAAGGTGTCTTCATCACATGACCACGTCAATGCAGTTGCCATTCTAGGGGTTTATGTGAGACATTGCCTTGAACACAAAGGCTTATATACTCATGAGCTTCGAGTCACTGGTGTGTTATGATGTGTTTATATAATTGACAGGATTTTGAAGGCCTGTAAGGGTTTGACTTTGATGCAGAATTCCACATCGTGTCAAAACACAACAGAATTTGATCACCTCCAAGGCTCTGCATCATTCCACTCATCTTGCATCATCAGCTCCAAATCGGACGTGCCAAATTCATCAAGGAGCAAACGGGTCCGAAGGGCTGGGTACTTTGCACAGGGACCGTGGCTTGGTGGCGAGATGTCGGGGGTCCCGAAATGATCTCCGGCTAAGCCGCCGTGCGTCCGCGTACGCGTCTGCTTCCATATTCGGTGTGTTTCTTTTCGTCGGCGTTTGGCCTCTCCACCATGTAGAGAGGTTGCAAAGGGCCACGTTCCACCTGCTGGGGAGGCCTGTTGGGGGGGTCTCACATCTTCTGAGGCTGGTAGAGTCCTCTGTGCATCGGAGAAGGCTGAAAAACCTCGAAGCGCCTTGGATGTACAAACCCGTTAAGTATATAACTGTATGCAACCCTGGCCGCATCATTTCCTTCGAAAGCTCAAGGGGCAAGATCTGTTTCATGCAATCACACCACAAGCCCCCAATGTTTGTGTAGAACCTTTGCATATCCTATCATGTCCTAATCTTAAGTTCACTGATCAAGTCAGAAAGCAAAGCATGATTGATCCAATGCATGGCTTCTGGGTTTGGGGCTTACTTTCATATATCGTCCAACATCTAACAAAGCATTGGTTTCACACTGCCCACTCAAAGCCAATTGGCGAAGCTTTGGAGGCATTCTTTATACGTTAGGATCCAAAAAAATCCTTCGTATGAAGCTTCGGAAGTTCGCATCCGAGTTGAATGTATTTCAACTCATCATTGAAACCTCGTGGGTACATGCATAGCTTCTGGGTATCAAGCAACTAATTTGAGGCTCAAGTGGCTACAGTGTCCCGCAGCAAAGCTGGACAGGTTCTGAGATGCTTCCCAGGAGGGTCATTATTGGGTCAAGCAATTCCATAAACTCTGCTTCAACAAAGAATTAATGAACAACACTAGAGAATAGAACTCCATGAACATAGTACTCTGCGTTGTCTCTTGGGTTATTGGGTCTATTTTTGCTTATCAAGAGTCAAGCCTTGGACGTTCCTTCAAACTTTTGGCAGGTTGTCAAATTGCTGGAAAGGATCAAAGGTGCATGTTTTTGACTTGACCGGTTTTCCATCTTTTCCTACACCCAATCACTTACTTTATTGGTGGTAGTGGTGCAAAACATTACTTGGAACATTGCGCTCTTGAAGTTGGATGTGGGTTCCACACTTCCACTTCAAGAGATTTCTCCCCTCTGGTGGCTTCAATGGGGATGTCATTTCATGTTGTTTCAGTGTTGCGCTAACGTTCAAAGCTCAGAAGGTGAGTGCTTACGCATATGTCTAACACGCACTAGTGGGGACAAGCGCAACAAGCTTGATTTTTGGACCTTTGAAGATGTTACCACAACAGCAACTTGACCCACAAACCGAGCGAGGCGGTTGACCGGGTTGACCTGTCAGACGTGTTTGGTGAATACCAAAAACAGCGATTTGGTACCGTGTTTGGGCGACCGACCGTGTTTGGGGGTTGCTGCTAAGAGTAATCAACCATCTTTAGGAGGTGATCAAAGGGATTTATGAGGTCAACCTGAAGTGCACTGCCACAACTCAAAGAGCGAATATATAATAGACAAACAACAATACGGTGAATCGAAACAAAGTGGACATTGTGAAACTATCACAAGCTATACCTGGGAATCATACTTACACATGGGGAAGTGTGCTTGCCATGCATCCATGTTTAGGGGTTTCTTCATATCCCGCACACACAGACACACATGTTTGACATTGGGTCAAGATATCAACAACCAAAACCAGACCGTCCTAGACCGCACCACTCGTCTTCTTGATGACAAGACAAACCATACTGACAAGCACTTTTGGTCGCGTTTGGGTTCCAACTACCTCCGTTTCGGTTCGGTGGTTAGGGTAGCTTTGGGAGGTCGAAGTACCGTCGAGGCTTCGGACGTGACGTGGGCACTGGGGCTTTATCTGGGGTCTGTGGATGTCCTTATAGACTGCAGATCCTTGGGGCTTTCCATGCAGGATTGACCAGAGTGCCAAGCACCACACCCCTTTGATCCATTCACTCTCACAACCCTCCCGCGGTCTTTGCACGCAGGAAGCCCAGGAACAACGCGATGTCCTTGAGAGGCAGGTCGCTCATCAGAATGTCAAGGTCCCTCAAATCAAGCAAATTCTTCATTGAGCTGAAGCATGGTCACAATGATATCATTTGTTTGTAGATATTTGTATGTTTTGTTTTTGCTTTGTTTGGGGGGGTGACCCCTTTTTCTTGGTTTTTTGCAACCAAATACCCATTCTCAGGTGTTCTTCAAAAGATTGGACATGGGTGTACAGCGCAATCTCCGTTTCGGTGGGGAGCGCTTTCAAAGGCGGATCCACGCAACTTGACTGGAGAGCGCGAGGAGCACGGAGGTCAGGGGATCCGGGTTCCTATGATTTATATATAAGGCTAAGCAGCATAGACCAAAAACCGCTTATTGTATGGCGTAGGGTCTTCTCTTTCTCAAAGACCTACTTCTTTCAGGATGCGGCCCCTGTGGAATCTGCTCTTCACTCCAAAACCTAGTTGAAGGAAGAACAATCTCGACCTCTTTCCTTATTTTGAAGGTCAAAGTAGCTGAAAGTAGTGGAGATCCACCGCAAAAGGGAGTGCAATGTTCAAAAGGATTGAATCCTTCAGCCTAAGGGGCTTCAGCGATTTTCAATGCTGAATCCTTCGAGATCTTACCCACCAAAGCTCTGGGAGCATGCGTCCTCTCTTTAGGAGCAATGGGCACACCCGACACACCCTCAACAAAGGTGGCCCACGTGTTCTTCGTGAGAACCAAAGTGACACACAACTTCTCCCCCCCGAGGTTGTCATCGATTTCCAACGAGTCAACATGAGTGATGCTCAAAATAGAGTATTCATATGGGATCGATAATTCCATGTTCATGGCTTGACAGCAAAGACCTTGCCATCTTAAGACCCTTGCGATTCCCAGACATTCGGACTGGAAGTCTGTATCACTCCATTGCCCCTTTTCAATCACCCCCAACTGATCGGAGTGTGTGAGACTCGATCGTGTCACTCGTCTCCTCCGCATCGGCTTGAGACGCATCCATGCCTTTGGGAAGCTCCTGGAGCATGCGGCACATGCTGCACGGTGCAAACATGTGCGGCACGCGGGGGGCATCAAGAAGGGCGCCATCGGAATCATGGTCTGGCGGGTTGCAGTGAAATTTCCGCTGATGACGCAGCCCAGATCATCCCAAACCCATCATCGGCCATAGCTTTTCTATCACTCACTGTGTGTGATCTAACAATTTCAACCCGATGGACATTCGGACATGTCCATATTATTGTGACAAACATACACGCACCTCTTACCGCAAATGACCTCATCCCCGCTGAATCCTTCCAAATAAATCATGATTCATCTGCATGTTCACCCTTGGAGCCTGTTACAAAACCTCTCAACCAAGGATTCTTCAAAGGATCTTCCTCTCTTTCAATCTCTCGAATCATCTCGAATCATGTTCCCGGCTCCCCAGGTCTCCGCCACCGGGCCCCAAAATCCACGCGGCGGCCACCGAAGGCCCCGCTCTCCTTCCGGATGGCCTCCATGCGCGTGCGCAAGTACTTGTAACGCAGCTGAGCGTCCTGAAGCACGTGGCTGCTGTGCCCTCTGCTCTCTTGAACTAATTGCTGGACGTCGTTGAACTAATTTCAGGGCCTGCGTCGTAGGGCCTAAACCTCATCGTACTTCACTAATCTGGATCATTCTGAATCAGAGTGACCGTCAAGGGGTTCTGGGTAACACTTCTTGAACTTCGTTGGAACACCGTCGACCTGGATGCCCATGCGAGTTCAAAGGGTGAAAAGGATGTTGGTGGGTCAAAACTCAAAACCGGTTAAGGATGTTAAGGGCTCAAACCTGAAGGTTAAGAGCTCCAGGATTGACCCACATGACCCACTTGCATTGCGATGTGAGTTGTCAGGACGGCAAAGAACAAGGACCCGATGGAGGCCGCACCATGCTGCACAAAAGCAGCCCGAAGGTGGGTGACGAGGGTCTAGTGGCTTCCAGCCAGGCTTCCGCCGAATTTCACCCCGAAGGTTCGTGGTTCGTGTATGGAGTCAGAAAGTGAATCTCAAATGCTTAAAGCATCTAGTCTGACCCACTCTGACCCACCCAAGAGTTGACATTACCCCCTTGGCCCCCTAGAAATCGGCCCATCTCACTCTCCAATCACCTTTTGACCAAACAATCCCATGATGATTCCTCATACCCCCCCCGCCCCGGAAGATCAGAACTCCCTCGAGACAAGAACCCACTCATCGTCCTCTGCCAGGGGCGATTCTTCCATCTCCACCAACTCCTGGCGGCCGGGGCCGTCTGACTGTGGGTGACAGCATTGGGCCCGTCAGACTGGTGACAGCATTGGCGCTGGATGCCTTGGGATCCGCTGCAGGACACTTGAACAGGAGCCTCGCAGGAACGGACAAGTCACCAGGAAGGGATTCACCAGATGGCCCACACCGAAGGTGCTGAGGGGCGCGATTGTGTCGCGTTCTTTGCTGCTTTAGCTCGGGGGTACCTTTTTCGTTTGGAATTGCACATGCATCTCCTGCATCTGCATCATGAGATGTGCCTGGAGAGGAGTAGGGGTTGGACAAACATCGAAAACACATGGTTGTCATTTATCACTTGTTTTACTATACTTGTTGTTTTTGTATCGTTTGCATCGTCAGGTCCATGCAAAACAAACAAACGACTCCTCTCAACAATTTATGTTTTAACAAACCTTTCACTCTCATCATATGCATCAGTTGGCTGTACTTGTGGAATTTACAGTTGCGCGAAAGCCGCGCGGAAGTATACTGTCTCTAAAATTAAGCGCAAAACTAAAACAAACAGAAAACAACGATTGACAGCAGGCTTATTACTCACAGCGTTGGGGTTTTAGCCTGTGCTAGCTGAGACGAACAAGTGACCCCCACCCCGATCTCCATTGAGCACACACCTCCTCCTCCTTCAAGCCCTCCTCGACAGCGCTGATGAAGCGTTTCCTATGCGATGTGAATGAACGGTCCCACAGAGATGGCACAAATGAGCATTCGACCCAAGTGGTTTCAACCGTTGTAAACAACAAATAAAGACATTACAAAACAACCAATGTCAGTGGCACCTTGGGAAAATTCAGTTTAAAGGGAGCGCATGTCAATTCTAACTTGACCGCCCAAGCATTTTTTTGTTGGGATGTGGTCTTTTCATCCACTGTTCTGGACCAACACGACCGAAGACCGCTTCTTCGATCGCGACCGGACTGCACGTCCGGTCGACCGCCTGCCCGTCGCCTGTTCCGCCGTTGCGGGGCGCGGTGGTCGACGTGACGAAGGAACTCTGGGGGTCGAAGTGACTCGGTGGGGTCGCCTCTCGAGCGGTTTCAGCTCGATGGCGTCCGCCAAGTCCTCGGTGTGTCGGCGGTGTCGGTGCACGGACGGGTTGCACGGGTCGATCGAACCGGGGCAGGTTCAGTGGATCGGCCGAGGCTCCCCGAAAAGACCACCCCATATGGCTGTGGATCAAAACCAGGGGGACCTGGGTTGACCACTGAACATGAACAGAATGGATTACCTTTTTCTACCATGAGGTGTTGGGGAAGGGGGTCTCTAGTTGAATGCACGGTGAAAAAAGCAAAGGAAGAATGCAGGGTTTCCGGGTCATTCTACTCTGCCACCACAAGGTGTTTGCCACTTGCAAGTCACCACCCCGTCACTCTTGTTCTGGAAGTCGATTTTTCGTTCTCATTTTCGCATCGATTTGTGCTTTGAGCGACTCCTAACATCTCCAACTGGGCAGTCAACAACTTGAGGGACCGTCCAAGACCGTCCAAGAACTGGAAAGCCTGGTGAAACAGCCTGGTGAAGATTGTTTTTCGGTCGATGGACCCATACAAATGGGTCGAGTCGCCCACACCCTTCAAATGAATCTCTGGGTCTCCAAAATGGCCCCCAAAAGGAGCGGAACATATCAATTGAAACCTGCTTCTTTTTCTGTGTTTTCATCCTTCCATGATACGTAGGCGCAAAGTTGTACAAAGTGCTGTTGATTGTTGTCTCTTCCAAATCACATCACAACAAGCGAGCAAGAGCAAGTTTGACTATATATTTGTACTTGGAAGAAGAACCCAATCCTGCAGGCTTTCCACTCCCTAAAACACTGATGGACATGGAAAAACGATGCAAAACCCCCCCTGCATGTTGATTGGCGTTCGGAAAAAATGCTCTTCCGAACTCGGGGCCGGGGCCCTTCCAGGGAGTGTAACCCTTCTACCAGGCTCTGCACGGCACCGTCGCGTCGCGGTGGGCGTGGCTCCCGTGGCTCCTCCACGTGAGCGTGGGCGATCAACTCCTCCGGCGCTTGGCCCTGCCAGTTCTCCTGGCGCGGAAAGGGCCTGGTCAAGTGGATCTCTGCATGGAATCATTGGTGCAAACAATAAGATAGAAGCATGCCCCTTCAACAGTTGACAAGCAATCAACTGTTATATTATTATATCAACTGTAGTATCAACTGTTATATCTTGTCATCTTGACAAGCAACATATGAAACATGTTCAAATACTGTGCACATCCCATTAAAAAAAACACACACACACACACCTTGAGGATGACTGCGCAACTGTAGAAATGTACACGGAGACATCAATCAGATACTGCATGATATGACTCCAGGTAGCTATTCCATGCAGGCATTCAGTGGTATGAGAACAAAACATATGGAACGGGGTGTTTAGTGAGTGGTGTGATTCTTCTGCAAAGTCACCTGCGCTACGATGGTGTATTCTTCTGGCCGATGGCAAAGATGCAAAACAAAGGAAACATGTCTGGGCAGTAAAAACAACGCAGAATGAGAGCCTGATAAAACAAATCACAGCCGGAAGCTCCGAACTTCTCAAGTGGCGCATTGACTTCTATTGGTGGTTGCAGAACTTGAAGGCCCGAAGATTGACCACATAGCAGAACAAAACCCTAGTTTACAGTTGTTGAGGTCTTCACACACACATGAACAAATTAGTATATAACCGAGGTTTCATACCGCATACCTATCTGAGGTGCATACCTAGTCAGTTTGACCGCCAGGACCATGTTCCTTTTTGTTCGGGCGATCAGCCCGATCTCGGACCAAGTTGTGTCTAAAAGAACCGACAGAAGCGGTTTCTGCTGTCAAGACGACACAAGGCAAAACACGTAGAATTACATGGCATTACAATATTTTTTGTTCGGAACACCGATATTTACAGTAGATCTTTGTTCTTTGAAAACGCATAGCAACGTGTTAAGGAATAGCCCAGCTTTCTTTTCTGAATTTTCTGGGATGCTTGGCCACTGCCATCAATGCCGGTGCTCTGTGGTTCTGCGGCATCACTGGCAGGTTTGAAATAAGGTGGGCTATTTGCATGTGATTGAATTGTTTCCTGAATAGTGTGATAGATTATGGTATTTTTCATTGCGGCAGCAGCATGAGGCACTTTTGGACCAACGTGATCGTTTTACCCCGTAGGTGTTGTGGAGCAGACTGGAGCACTGGTTCCCAGCGTACACAGGCACTGGATCTGGACATGCTTCAAGATGCACCTGAATGCTTCTCCCAGCTTGGCTGGAGGGGGAGTATATCAGTGCTCGATCTGGTCGTCGAGACATCTTCAAGCCCCTTGCATTTCCTAGGTTTCTGATCGCCCAGACCCTTACGGAACTGCTTTTGTCCAGGTGATACCGGGATCTTGGGATTGCTGAGAACAGTGCGGTAGATTTGCACCTGACGTGCACGATCAAAAATCATGGCTCTGGTGAGGCGGCATCTTGCTCCTTGGAAAGCTTGGTCCACTGTGTGAGGAAAACATACTTATCACGGACGAGGCTCTTGATTAATACAACCTCCCTTCAGGAAGAGGTACAACCCCAAATGAGAGATTTTATTGATCAAGAGCCTACTGTACCTTACATGTGTCATAGAATTTCCGAACTTGACAGCACACCGCGTCAAGTTCTATAGTAAAGCCATTTCTCGCAGTCTGTCCAATGCTGGCGTTGTACACGTTGCTCATCGTTGTTCCAGAAATTGCCCCCCATTCAATTCATCTTTGACGGCCGCCAGTGTCTTGCGCCGGAGTAGTTTCACGCAGAAATCCAGCACAATATATGGTCGGACCAAACGAGCAAAGTTCAGCAGAAGGGGATGGAAGAGAGTAATGCATGAGTAAGCTCACCCGTGCCGCATCATCAAATGTCTGGCGCTCATTCAGCAATCCACAACATAGGGATCCAAGCACCTTCTCAGAAGGTGATTGGAGACACTGTTGTGTAGGTTTGGAGGGTCCAAGTACCTTTTGAGAAGGTACGACTGGATCCCTAGGAATAGATGTCATTGCCATCAAAGGTTGTACTCCACATAGATCGGCTTGATGGTTCCATCACATCATAGCACCAGTTGCAGGATCAAAAACATCACCGGTTTTGCGCAGCGTTCATTCAGAACGTCTGGGTTGGTCCAGTCCAAGCGTCTGACTCCATCATACAACGCAAGCGATCTCGTCCGCACGGGGAGTTCGTGAAATATGTTTGTCATGCCTCCCTCGATAGAAGCAACACAAGCTCGGCTGGATCTGGACTCTTCACCATCTTCACAAAATTCTCGCTGAGATTAACAGCCGCTTGATAAGTGGTGACATCAGCCACACCAAGCAACGGTGGATTGTACTGAAGTGTGTCACTTCGAGAGCAGTTTCGGGAACATGGTCAGAAAGGCACCCGAGTGGTCCTGCACATCTTCAAGAGTACTCTTTGTTTAATCAAAGACGTGGTATTCCAAGACTGGATAGTTCATCCCCACAGGTCACCATCCGTTTTTGCCCCTAGTCTCACATGTGTTTCACCACTTTTGCAAGGTACTCCACCTCTGGAACTCCGCTTTGACCCGGAGAAAAGCACCGTCTACCAACGTCGACAGCGGCCCTGCCTCGACCCATCTTCTCAGTAACGCGACTCGGCGCTTGCGCTCCTGATAACAGGCGCGGAATGTGGGGAATGTCGGGAATAGGAGTTTCTGACCCATTCTGACTCCTCACCATCTAGTGGATGGAGAGTAGTGGCACCATTTCCCCCGAGTTTAGTGATTGAAACATGTTGAAACGGTGGACCCCCATCTAAAGGTTGTACAATCAACTCTGAAACCACTGTATATGCATAGATACAAGTACCTTTGGATCCATTCCTCCATTCGATTGCGTTCCTTCTGAGTCGCGCCAGTTGGCTTAAGGGGTTGGCAGCTTACAGCACTTCTGTGCTAGAAGATAGTAGCAGGAACGAACGCGGAGTCTTTCTCTAGCTCAATCAAGCCGAGGGGCTCTCTCATGTCTGCTTCTTAAAATTCACGATATTCTCTACAAAGAGAGGACAACCTATTCAACCTATAGTCGCCTAGTCAATCTACTCGCTAGAGACTGAGGGACTGATTGGGCAGCCCAGTCCGAGAGTCATCAGTATAAGTCATCCATTTGCCACTCCAAGACTTGGACTTGCTATTTATATTCACCAGGTTAGGGGATTTATCAATTGAATAAATATAGAAAATCACCAGGTCAGCAAACACAGGAAGACTTAGAAACACAGTTCCATAGCCCCATCTACCAGATCTACCAACGTCCTAACTCAATGTAATGAACTAGGGCGGCGCTGTTGGGCTGTCGGGTTAAAACTACATCTCTGGCCACGGAAGACTGCTGGGCAGCGTGGTTTCCTATCCTTTTCATCTTAGATTTGCTGTGCAGGAACCCGGCAAAGGGATTCACCCATAAGGAACATACAAAATCAGATCCGCACAACTCTGACCAGCTCTTCAGCCCATGTCCTTGTCCCTGCTGTGAGGGTGGCCTTCGTCCGACGCCCCCAAAACCCGCGGGTGCCTTGGCGTCATCCTGACGGATACGGGCTTGCCTGAACGCGGCGGAGCAAATCTCCAAATCCAACAAGTTGGTTCGTCCATATAGGTCTTAGACAGGCTAAGCCTAAGCTATACTGGAATTATGTTTGATGCACAGATTCATTCTCCAATGAAATCATCAAGTGGTTTCAGCTTACACCAGTGGTTTTAGTGATTTCAGAGTCGGGTCTTTTTTGAGGTGGTCACCTGACCGTTGCTCAAAACTAACTAGTGCAGGTGGGGTTAATGAGTGTATGGGTTTTCGAACACCTTAAAAGGTGACGGAAAAATACCATGTGTGTAAGAATATGAATATGATAACAATAAAGACGGATTGCCAAGTACAGGCGCGAAAAACATGTGAAAATTTTATCTACTCATATCTACTCTACTCAGTTCCTGAGAAAAGGTTCAAGTGCTGCCCCCACAAAGGCTTCAGAAAGGCTGAACAAAAATCACATGTTGGTGACCAACTCAACAACGCAGAGTTCAAAGTCACTGGGCGCAAGCTACAGAAATCCTTTGCCATCACGACGTATTGCTACCAATTTTGATATGTGCCGGAAAAAACAAACTACTTTACTTCGAGTGGCCCCTACCATGACATTTCAACTGTTTGTTTTCATGCATGGTGAGGAGCATGTTGCCATGGCCACTGCCAGGGTCTCCAGCTGGTTGCGTATTTGTGGCTGTGTGTGTGTGTTTCTGATTGTGATTGTGTGCTTGTGGTTGTGTCTGTGGCTATGTGTTTGTGTTCTTTTGTGAATGTAGTTGTGTTTGTGATTGCGTGTTTGTGATTGTGGTTGTGGTTCTGTGTTTGGTTGTGTGTGTTGTGATTGTATGTTTGTGTTTGTGTTTGTGGGTGTGTTTGTGATTGTGTGTTTGTGGTTGTGTGTTTGTTGTTGTGTTTGTGTTTGTGTGTTTGTGTGTTTGTGATTGTGTGTTTGTGGTTGTTTGTTTGTGATTGTGCTTGTGGTTGTTCTGTTTGTGGTTGTGGTTCTGCATTGTGTGTTTGTGGTCATGTTGTGTGGTTGTGAGTTGTGCGTTGAGGTCCGGTAGTGCCCACTGTGATCTGGCACTTGCGGTTGAGGTCCGGCGGGGCACACTGCCATCCTGCACATGCGGTTGAGGACGAGGCGGAGGAGGAGAAGGAGCAAGGCAGCTGACATAAAATCTAACAACCCTCACCTGACAGGTGGAGAAAAACAAAAAAACCCTCAATCCACAAGGACAATGTTTTAATTAACGTGTTTGTTTTTTGTTTGTAATAAGAGGTTGCTTTCAAAAAATGATCAACTCTGCTCTACATGTGCCTTCATCTCCCGCTTGGCACCGATGCGCATGTAACTTGCAACACGTCGGTCGGCCGCTCACCAACGGGACGTCCCCACTTGATCAAGCGGAGGCCATACTCTGCCACAGGGCGGGAGGCCTAGGCGAACGGGCAAATGATAAAGTGCCCGGGGGGGGAACTGGTAGGACTTTAAATGTATATATCTGGCCGGCCGTTAAGACGTCCACCTTTCTCCCCCTGTGATCCCTGAGAGATTAACAAACAATCATGATTCTGCACTGCCCGCCATATTTAATACACATGTGGGCAATCACTGGTTTGTTGTACTGTTGGAAAGCACAGGTGATTGTTACCTTTTAGGTTCAAGGAAAGCAGGTGGCAGCTCAACAGCCTTTTGCAGTCGGCTTTTTTCAGCGGTATGTTCCGCTAAATGACTGGACCATATATGTAGCTATATAGATTTATATTGCCAACTACTAGTGCGGAAATTTGATAATTTCCGTAGAGGCTGGTTGCGCTGATTGATTAAGTTATTGAAACATGGGTTACCAACAAAGAGGGTGTGAAAAAGAACAGTAAATAGACAATTATTGATGGTCTTGGACATGAGAGAGAAGGCTCATATGGAGTCCGTGTCCTTTCTTTGATGTTATTCTGAGCCAGCTTGCGCAAAACATACAAAAGTGGAGCAAACCAGCTTACAAAGAGACTTGGTTTTCCAACGTTTCAACGGGACATGTTCCGCACCCCTGTTGATAACAAATTTGACACGCGCAGAGTGGCACGGAGGCTTGAAACTTGAATGTAAAAATCTAGTATAAACCTGTCCATCCCGGTATCCTCCCTGAAATAGTCATGGAAGTGGAGGCTTCTTAGTGCATCGGGAACCCCCTGCTATTCCTTCGTTCCCTGGTTCAGGAGGACAATGGATATCCTCCGAATCGTTCCCTCCTAACCACCAGCTACAACTAGTGTCATGAGGGCCGTCTGATCTTACCAGACTTGCGATCGGTGCGCAAGAGGTGGATGGGAGAGAGAAAGTCTGCATTTTATTGGAGATTCTCTGCACTTCAACAACGTGCACCGTGAAAACATCTCAATACGGCTGTACCAAACAAAACCCCAGCCAAAGTAATCAAACGCTGTCATACGCGCTCATGGCACGCAGGATGCCTAGTACTGTATGTAAGCATCAGACAGCCACTCCCTCAACATTCAACAGCAATCTGAGAAAAGAATAAGCAACCCTGGAAGCTCAACATTCATCAGGGGAATAACCTATGTGAACAACATGTTTATAAGTGTGATTATGTGCGCATATAAAAATATATATATATATATCCCCTAGTGCTCCCGGATAGTCTCTGAGAAGGTATCTCTTGTTCAGGGTCTGTTTGGGGACGTGTGAGCTCCAAGACCACTGTGAGAACTTACCGCGATTAATTCAACGCTCGCAACATGTTCTCACTCAGACGTTTCCAGCCACGTTTTGCATGGCCCTCAGATAGGATTGAGCAAGTAACTCCACATACCACCTCATCAGCCCAGACTCTTCAAGACCACTGGGCTGGGTGACCGCGAGCCATCAATCAATCGGCCAACAAAGTCTTCTCTGTGTGCCACCAGCGGAGAATCGGTCGTCGAGCCCTTTAACGAGTGGCGCGTGCAATTACAAACCTGCAGTTGATCCAATTCAAACATCAGGTGTACAAGTTAAGACGCTATCATCCAGTTGTGCTTGGCACAGCTCCTGAAATCCATGTACCGGCATTGGGTCTATATTCTCATCATTCCCAGACTCCAAGGAGTTTGTTTGGTCACAGTCTTGCCAC